AATTGAATTGAATTGAATTGCAGGAACATCTGTTGCAGAAATACTGGCAGTACATAAGGAGTTCTGTTTACAAGATAAAAAACATTATTTCATTCTATTTTTAAATGAAGACTAAGTTATAACACATGACACATCTTTTGCTTCTGTTTTTACAGCATCTGTCTGGTAATCACTTTGTGTCTCACACTAAAAATTCAACAAGATGGAACCTTGGAAGTGTGCCTGTCAGTGACAGGGTTTGTTCAGTGACAGTGATGGAGGAGAAGCTGAAATGGGCTATAGCAAATAATGAGCAAAATGGCATCTTGCCTAGAGTCAGGGTAGCATAGATTTGTTTTATCTGCCCTCTGGTGGTGATTTAAAGAACCAACACTGTTTTGGTTTAATGGCATATGTACTGTACAGTATGGTATAATCTCAGTACCTTCTTCAACCTCTATACATTTTCAGTGAATAAGTTCTGACAGAAACCAGTGTACGCCAGCTGCTGGAGGGGAATGGGAAACAGTTTCTCAGTAATTTCATTGCAAGACCTTCTGTATGTATATAACCTATATATATCCTGTATCTTACAAACTCAGTGTGATGCTTAATACTAACATGACAGCTGAGGTCTGCAGATAACTCAATAGCTGCTTGTTGAAACAGGCTCCCGGTGATTTGGAAGCAGTTCAGCTGCTGCACATTTACTGTGACCTTTAAGTGAGTCCCTTTTGAAGAAGCTTCATGTTAAGCCAGCATCACTGAGGGTAAAGGATCTCACAGAATACAGGATCATTTCACATGTCTGACTTTGTCTTTCTTTGTGGATCCTGGTCCCGGTCTGCTGTCAGTGCCACTAATAGTGGACAGTGAGGTGTTAGCCTGCAGGCTAATTCCTGTCTTAATAAATGCACATGAACCGTGTCACAGTTTGTCTGAGTCTAAAAAACATCTGTAGGATTCCTATCTGACACTACTGAAGCAATGGACCATTATCCAAGTAGCTGTAAGAAATATCATTAGCATGTTAGCTTTAGCCACGTTAATGCTACTATTGCTACTTTTGTAAGGTAAAAGGAACAGTTCAACACACACACTAGGAAATAAATGAATATGCTTCATTTTTTTGTACAGTAGAAGCCGCTTTCTTAGCTTAGCTTAATGTTCCACTCATTGTCTTCTTTACAATTGAGATTTTTGAGAAGGGGCCAGCTGCAGTCTTGTAGATTATACTAACCACACCCATTATGAGTAAAGCAGTAAAGTAGCTGCAGAGCCCAAAAACACACCCACTTGTTCACAAAGCTACAGTGGCTGAGGAGGACAATAGATTGTAGCTGGTAAAAAATACATTTTAAATATTATTAAAGGTAGTGATTTTAGGTCTTAAAAAAATTTAAAAATTCAAATAAATACAGGTATATATAGTCTGCCACTGCTCTCTTCTTATCTTATTGTCAGCCACCCCTCTGCTCAGGTCAGGAGTAAGCATTTCTTCGCTGTCATCATGGGAACCCTGGATGTACTGTTAAAATAAATTATAACAGTGATGTAATAATTGAAAGTATAACAACGTGAGAGAGAGAAGTGATATTAAAAATGGCAGGAAAATTCTGTTTAAGTTGGTATTAATTATGACCATACCACCGTCTGCTCTGCAGCTCATCCTGTCCTCACTCATGCCTCTGATCGGGTCGGGTCAGAATGAGCGTTTCTTCACTGTCGTCATGGAAACCCTGGATGTCCTGCAGGGATCTTAGTGGTGGAGTGTGTTCAAACTCACCTTTTAGTCCAAATAGCAGCAGCTCAGGTGGTCAAATAGATAAATAATGAAAGTAAAAATATTTGTTGATTGTTGACTAAAGTGATAATATATACATAAACAGAAGGAGCATACAACAACATACCTTACATTCTCTTTTAAACCTATTGCAGGTACTTCCTGTCTAAATCTCACATTCACCCTTCTTATCCACAGTGAACAGTAGCAGCTCAGGTGGTGGAGGAAGAGGAGAGGAGAGAAAGATAAATAATGGTTAGTGAGACAAGTCATCTGTGAAATAAGTGATATTGTTTGGATAAACAGGTGTAGCACACAATATGAACTTGTTAGGGTGCTCTAAGTCACTTTCTTTAAGCTCGGACTCACTTTTTGTCCACAGGATATTGAGTCAGATAAAGTAAGATAGAAAATGGTCAGTAAGACAAGTCATCTTGAATTATTGACAAAGTCATAATATATGAATAAACAGGTTGAAACAATAAATTCCTCTGCCTAAACCGTAGGTCCGATTGCTACTAGATCGTTTGTGGATCATCAAAGAATGTTTATTAAATGTTGCCTAAAGTTTGTTGATTCACTGAATGTGATTACTTGATTGTCAGTCAACAGAAACAGCTTCGTAAAAACAATTTATAGCTGCCGTTCAACCTGGAATTTGTCCTAATTTTCTCCTTGAACATGAAACACTTCCTTGTTCATTTTGTTTTCAAAATACTGACCAATAAGTTCAGAAGGGGCGTGGCTCAACACTTAAATAGACATAAGTCAATAATCTTTGGGCCAATCGTCACAAAACTCACAGGATATGTCCACATGAATACCTGAAACATACCCTTTGATAACAGTTTCATTCAAATGGTCACCACAAATGCAAAACACTGGGGGTGACATTGTCCAATCGTCTTGTTCCACAGTTAACAGCAGCAGCTCAGGTGGTGGAGGAAGATTAGAGGACAAACAACATAATGTTTAGTAACACAGCCAAAATAATCTCTGAATGACTATGTTAGCCTAAATGAATCCACCCCCCAGTCATATTAATACTCACATTCCTCGAGGCACAGGCCGAGGAGGTGGAGTAGC